CGCGTGTTCCTAACGCACGGGCATTGTCAGCGACTGCGAGAGGGTCAGCACCAGGAGGACGAGCGTACATCTCCATGAAGTAGAACTTGTCCGTATCGTTGTCAAAGATGAACTCGACGGTGCCGGCACCGACATAGTTCACAGCCTTGGCAGCCGCAACGGCCTTTGCGCTCAGGTCCGCGCGCAACTCCGGTGACAAGCCGGGTGCCGGTGCCTACAGAGCGTGTCCGTTAACACCGAGGCTCTCCTGCAAACACGCATCACACTCACCTCCTCGATGATCTTCTGGTTCCTCCTCTGCACCGAGCAGTCCCTCTCCCACAGACTCACGCACCCGCCCAGCGCATCCGCAAACACCTGCACCTCGACGTGCCTCGGCCGCTCGATGAACTTTTCGACCAGTACGTGCTCGTTCCCGAACGCGTTGCGCGCCTCGCGCTGTGCGCTCTCCAGCGCGTCCGCGAACTCGGCAGCGGAGCGCACGACGCGCATGCCTTTGCCGCCGCCGCCGTGCACGGCTTTGATGAGCACCGGATAGCCTGCGGTCGCAGGTCAGTAGCGAGGTCATGCGAGGGAAAGGTAAGACGAACCGATGTGAGTCGCTTCTTGAGCGAGCAGTGCGGGATCTTGATCTGCTCCGTGATAGCCCGGGACGACTGGCACGCCCGCGTCTTGTTTGGCGGGATAGTCATTAGATAGAGTTAGAGAACGGCAGCGATTCAATGCGTACCTGACATGATCGTCTTTGACTCGCTAGAGTCCGTGCCTGTCAGTCAGACAAGCGGCGTGCGAGACGCTGGAATTGCCTACCTCTTAGAACCCATGCTCACGATGGCACTGGCGGGAGGGCCTATGAACGCGATGCCCTCGTGCGCGAGACGTTCCGCAAAGTGCGCGTTCTCGCTGAGAAAGCCGTAGCCGGGGTGCACGGCCTAGCGAGCTGCGCGTTAGAGCTTGTTCATATGGGGAAGACGCAGCTGACCTGAGCGCCGCTACGGTGGCAGACTTTGATGATCTTGTCCATGCGGAGCTGCGGGCGAAGCGTTCAGGTCGTAGTCAATACGAGGCGGGCACGAATGGGCTTACATAGCTCTCCGATGATGCGGCAGGCCCGATACAGTACGCCTCGTCCGCCTAGAGTACACGGCGCGACGTAAGTGAAAGGCGTCGCGCGTCGCGTCTGATGCACGTACCAAGCGAACGTGCAGTGCGTCGGCATCCACCTCGCTGTAGACCGCGACGGTCGTTATCCCCAGCTTCTTCGCCGTGCGGATCACACGACACGCGATCTCGCCTCTTCAGAGGGATCGCGATGAGTGCTACGTCAGGGCATCGGAGAGAGCGCACGCACCGATTCGCGATGAGGATCTTGTCAAAGTGGGGCTTCCTGTCTGGTGAGGGCGCCGAGACCGTTGCGAGGGCTCTGCGGGTGTCTGACAGGGCGGTATGAATGGAAGGGATTGCAGTGCGTTCACGGAGATGCGCCGACCTGAGACCCTCCATGTGTCAGCGGCAGGCCGGCCGCGAGCAGAGCTTCTGAGCGACGACAGCGAGCGAGCCAGGGACGGATGCGCGTCATGGTCGTTGTCCAGACGCGTGCCAGCAGTCAAGCCCTGAGTGAGGCTGCGAGGCACGCGAGAGAGCGAGCGCGCCACTGAACGGCGCGTGTTCGTGAGCATGGCGGGCGCGAGCGTGCGGTGGGCGGGCAGCAGGACGTCGGTGACTCGGAAGACAGCCGAGGATGGGCAGAGGGGGAGAACGGCATGACTGGGGTGATGAGCGGGGGGCGCGGACACGAACGCACTCGTGATCACACAAATCGCGATTTGATCGGCCGCGCATCTGGCCCATCTCGTTCTGACGCACTCGGATACACGCACTCTTCTGCGCTCGTCTCTGCTCGTACGTGCCTGCCAGTGGGCCAACCTCCTCGGCGCACTCCTCCGCATGGCACTCCTCGTCCTCATCCTGCACCCACCCTCCCGTCGCTACCTCTTCCCACCAGCCCCACTCACCGCAGTGAGCGCGAAGTCAGGCAACCTCCAGGTCCCTCGCGCGGGCACCATCGGCAGCGGTGACGGCCTCTCAGGCGCACCAGGAGCGCACAAGGGCGAGGCAGTAGAGCAAGAAGCGACGATTTCGTGTCAGGCGTCGCATCCCTCGCCATCGGCACCGCTACAGGCCAGAAGGTCGCACCGCACTTGGGCCAGTCGGAGGACGTCCACGCCGCGAAGCAGGAGGAGGGTGGTATCGGCGCTGCGATGCCTGAACCGACACAGCTTGCGACGCAGACGGCGGATGCGACGCACGTCGCTCAGGGCGCGCGGGCGGATGGGAAGCACGATGCGACCGAGACGCACGTCGAGGCGGCGATGTGGGAGACCGCGCGTCCTGCGATGCGTGCGCTATCGGACGTCGTGGATGGTTGGGAACGTTTCGGAAAGTGCGTTCCCCTTTTGCGCTGCCGTCAATTCCGCCGTGCTCACGTATTCGCGGTGCATTGTCGCCGACGCCGCCCTTCTCGCACACGCCGCACCTTCGCCTCGCGGCGGTCGTGCTGTCGCTGATGGTTGCGATGACGGTTGTACCATCGACGCTCTTCGTGAAGGCGTCTACTTTCACCGTCGGGTTTGGCATATTCGGGCAGCTGGTCATCACGCGGTCGGTGCACTGGATAGCAACGCGTTACCCCAACTGGAGAGAGCCCTTGGAGCTCAGGAGGTACGTGTGCGAAGCTGGCTTGTCAGCATCTGACCTCCCACTGTGAGTACTCGCTCTATGCACGCGAGTGACGACTTCGGTGCTGGCTGATGCGGGATGCAGCTCGACCTGATCCCATTGGACAGGTCATCCCTTCCAGTACCCGACCTCCGAGACGGCAGCCAGCGAGCATTCTGTTCATGGCTCGTCGTCGTCCTAAATGATGCAGGATTCAAGACGATTTGTCCGGCCTGCCCACTAACTACCATGGGACGCGATAGCTGATGCCATCCTACTCCACCATGCATCGGGTCCAACGCACGACGAGCTCAGACGTCTGCTCCTCAAGCAGTCGACGCCAATGCCAGACCGTGCGGAGCCAGCCCGACGGAGCCGAAGCGAAGATGACTCTGCGCAGAAGTCAACGCAGGAACGATAGATGCAGGACCCAGCGCACGCCTAGTCTCAGGAGCGTGCCGGCTGAGCGTGCTGGTCTGCCGCTCCCCACGCGTATCTCCGCGTGCGCGAAGCTCATGGCTGCGGCTGGCGCGACCGCTGAGAATGAGCCCGCGGGAACGTCTCAAGCGGTCCTCTCGAAAACTTGCACGTTGCGAAGAGCACGCGAGGTGTCTGCACCATGCAAGATGATGGCAGACCCTCGTAGACTCTCGACCTCGGCTAGTCGAGCGCTCCTTCGGGCATTCTTTCAACACCCCCATTGTTTCGCATCTGATCAGGTGTGCGACCGTCGTCGCGGAGAGAAGTGGTCGTGTGAGGGCTCAGGTAATCTCCCGAATTCATTACGCCATTCTATTGTACATCATTAGAAATGACTCACAGAAGCCTTCTCCAGTGACTTGCTTTGATTGGACTCATGCATGAAATGGAAGATGCAGTCATGAGCACAGGCTGCTGATGAGGATCAACGTGAGATAGAGATGGCTTCGCGAGTGTCCAGGCAGCCAGGTAACAGAAAGAATCCACCGAGTCAGTCTCATGATAAGGCCCCGCTGGGGCTGGGACATTGCGAGATGAATTTCAGAGAACTTCACAGTGGCCTAGACATGTGTAAAATGAACAAAGAGCTCAGATACCGTGGAAGTGTACCGGTGAAGAGGTGGCCCGAAGCTACCATGCAAAGGAAGCGCAGGCTTGCATCGCTTCGTCTTGACATGGGTGAGGGCCGAGATGGCCTCCGAGTCAGAGAAACAAATTGCACCGAGAAGCTGACAGGAGGCTTCTATCTCAGACTGTCGCCACCATCGAGCGAGTGAGTGTGATCCTCATGCACAGAAAGACTCCAAGTAAGCGTGACCGAGAGCCAACCGCAATTGCAAACCTGCCTCATCAACAGAACAGCAGAGCACAGGCTGGTGCACCCACCAGCTCTCCAAAGCGCAGCTGCATAATGGACGATTCGAGACGTGAGAGAGTTTACGTACGCTGATAACACGAGGCCAACGGCGATCAAGACAGACATCAAAATCAATGTGGCCGCTGTACGCCCACATTTCGATCGGCAGCTTCTGGAGCCAAACATGGCCGATTCACCGAAGGTGAGCCGGTCCTATGCGAGAGAAGACCTTGCGGTGGATCGGTTTGGTCTGGCCTAGAGCGGATGCTTTCATATTTGATGGGAAAACGGTCTGGACTTCAGTCCAGTATGGTCTGCGGGCTTCCGCATGGCTCGACCGCAGCGGTTCACCCACGGTGGATGAACCGTTCGGCATACCTTGTCCCACACGAACTACTCACACGGCCGGCGACGGCGGTCGGACAACATGGTGAGCTGCATTATTTCTGGAAAATATTCACATACGCATTTCCTCCCTTTCCCAGGCTCATCTGGAGGGACTTCTTGTCTCCAGATGCACATAAGGCTTCGCCTCCTGTCCTCCCACTCCCCCGTCCCTGCCGACCTTCATCGCGCATTCTGGCTGGCCTTGCTCTTTTCATCGGACCTTCGTTCTCTTGACTGCTCAAGCGCGACTCACCTCGACCGTGGAACTCTAAAACTCGAAGGCATGGTCAGACCAGATAGGAGATAAGTACACCGTGTTCGATGAGCGTGTGCGCGGAGAATTGACCAACCCGTTGAGCAGGAGCGAAACGTCAAAAGCCGCTCATCAACGTCGCCGCGTGCAAGTCGAACGCGTCCAAAGCGCGTCGACTGCCGCCGTTCATGTTGGCAAAGTCACGCGTGCACGTCGAACATTGTTCTCGCATGTTCGTGGTACGCGTTCCTGCTTTCGCCTGTCATCGCGCGTCGCCTCGGGCCCTCATCTTCCGTTTGGACAATGACCAAGGTGCAAGAGTCCACAAACTTCACGTTCGGACCGTCTCCCTCCATGTTAGGCTCAAGACCGTGCTGCTGTCAAGTCAACGTGAGCACGTTCCAGATTATAGCATCGGATTGCCACTCACTGCCCGTGTCAAGCAACACTTTCCAACGGATCAAGCCCGCGGTCAATACCGAACACATTGCGCTCGATGCGCGGCATTGAAGGACATGCCAGTGGTAAGTCCTGGATGGGCTATGTCAGACTTCGCACAGCGGTTAACGCGGTGACCCACAGCAACCTAGAGCGAACGCCATGGAATACGGCCATCACAGCCCACCTCGGACCTCTATACCACACGCCGAACGCGAGACGCTCCCTTAGATCGACCTCACCATCCGTGGCAAGTCACGGTCAACCTCTATGGCCTGCGAGTACACCATCGCAGCCGTATCGTTCGAACATTGCTTGACGTGCACCGGAGTCGGTCAGAATGCAATGGAATGGCATCATACACACGTATATTAGGGATGGTGAGATGTGATCACCGACCAGTCACGAGACGATGGAGAATGTATGGCGGGACGCGACGGCTCATAGCCGCAAGCTCTCTCATGCAGGCGACAGTCCTGCGCATGTTCTGGCGAAGGAGACTGCGAGAAACCATGGCTTGGGCAAAAGGTATGTCAGCTTGCCTTGTCTCTCGCGCACTTCAAGTTTGCCAATCACGCTGTTCGCAGAATCGTGATCGCCATGGTCATGATCACTGCCCTATGCCATGCTCCGCAGTCCAAAACCACGAACAGCAGGATGGCGACAAGAGCACAAGGGCCTATTCAGCCCGAGCGTCATGCGGTTGAGCACGAACGATGGCCACCGGTCTTGGCCGTCTCTCGCAGCGCACCTCGTCAGTTACAGTTCCACGTAGCCAACACCTCGCCTGCGTCTCGATACGCTCCGGCCATCCACACGTCTCACGAGGGCGATGGCATCCTCGACGGGAACGGGGCAATTGAGTGCACAGATCGCCCTAGTCGACATGTACACGCGAAGGATCGAGCAGCGGGTAGTCTGCTCACCGTTCGAGATGTCTCCCAGCACTCCCTGTCCATCGCGTCGAATCACGGTCCACGTTGCGGTCCGTCTGCATCGGCGTCGAGCGCACGCAGCGCAAGGAACGCTCTCCGTCTTCGATCGCAATGCTGTGGCCCCGACGCACGGTCTGGTCTCGGAACAAGGCGGCGCGCTCAAACCCTTCAGTCGACATGTACACGCGAAGGACCGAGCAGCGGGTAGTCTGCTCACCGTTCGAGATGTCTCCCAGCACTCCCTGTCCATCGCCTCGAATCACGGTCCACGTTACAGTCCGTGTGCGTCAGCGTCGAGCGCACGCAGCGCAAGGGACGCTCTCCGTCTTCGATCGCGATGGCGTGGCCCCGACGCGCGGTCTGGTCTCAAAACAAGGCAGCGCGTTCGATGCTTCGGCATTGACGCACTCAGCGCAGAGAGGCTTGACGAGACGGTCGTGCTGTTCGTGAGCCATGGTCTACGGTTTGCAAGGAGGAGAACGGAGCTTGAACGATAGGAGCGGGCTAGTACGGCGAGGGCGAGGGCGAGTTGGATGGCAAGGAACGGACGGCAAGGAATAAGAATGGGAGAGGCCGCGGCGGGCGAGCGCATCGTCGGCGATGGAGGATTCGGTGCCAAATCAGGGTAGCACAATGTGGGAATGGTATCGAGAATTCATGGAGAAGGGGAGGACAGCGAGCGCATGTCAAAACTAGCTGGAAATAGATGGAATACAACTCAGTGTAGTCAAAACAAAACCGTGCTTACCAGGCCTTTGTGAGCTGCAGAGACTAGCGTAGACTGCGGCAAAGCGTTCGATATGCCTTGTATCCGGTGAAAGGCCTCTCTGCTCCTTACATGGCACGATCTCTAACATACTGCACGGTCGTACCTCACGTGGATCCATCTGGCAGTCTCGTGCACGCATGCCAGTGGCGAC